TGTACCTATTAAATAATGAACTATCTGGAGATATAAATGTTAACCAATCATAACAGTTCTGGTACAATTTATTGCATTAATATAAAGCAAATAAATTAACAGTTAGAAAATTCATTGTTTATCTTAAGGATACAACTTTAAAAATTCTGCCTCTTCTCTCAGTTAAATTTAAAATCTCAAGTGATTATTTAACTATCTTAATAAATCTCTACTACACTTTATTTTAACAGAAATACCAGGGATATATTTAAAGGAAGGAATCCAAACATAGCAAGCTAATATACCTGCTTAACGTTTAATTATTTATATGTTACCTACTGACATTTATCAGATACTCTATTTTTTTCACAGAAAAGACTTATTTTGCTTTGTAAAGAAATGCTGTTGTTATGTGCTATTGAGTCAGTTCTGACCCATAGCAATCTTATGTACAACAGAATGAAACAATGACTAGCCCTGCGTCATTCTCACAGTAATTGCTGTTTGAGCACAGTGTTGCAGTCACTGTCAATTCATCTCACCGAAGATCTTTCTCTTTTTTGCTGACTCTCTACTTTATTAAAAGGGGCACCAGCCACTCCTTGGAAGGAAGATTGGGCACTCTATTTCTGTAGAGATACCGCCTCGGAAACCCAAGGAGGTGTCGTTATGAGTGGAATCAACTGGAGAGCAGTGAGTTTGCTTTTTTGTTGTTTTTGTTTTGGTGGTATAGTGGTTAAGGCATTTGGCTGCTAACCAAAAGGTTGGTGGTTCAACTCCACCAGCTGCTCTGTGGAAGAAAAATGGGCAGTCTGCTTGTGTAAAGATTTACAGCCTTGGAAACCCATTGGGGGTTGCTTTGAGTAGGAACGTACTCAATGGCAGTGAGTTGAGTTTGAGCCACTTTATTAAGCGTGATGTTCTTCTCCAGGGACTAGTCCCTCCTGATAATGTATCCAAAGCATGAAGACAAAATCTCACCATCCTCACTTCTAAGAAGCACTCTGGCTGTACTTCTCCCAAGATAGATTTGTTCATTCTTTTGGCAGTCCACAGTATATTCAGCATTCTTTGCCAACATCATGATTCAAATTCTTCAATTCTTCTTCTTTCTTCTTTATTCATGTCCTTGTAATGCAACAGATAGCACTTAAACTTCAGCTGACTCTACTAAGTAGAACCCTCAATTATCTGAATTTTTTCCCCTTTGCTGCATTCGTCTTTACAAGGATAGAAATTATAAAAGGTATTATTGTGGATTAATTCCAAAAGAATAACTTTGAAGTTATTTTCTTGGCCAGCATGAAATCAGAGCCATCTCTTCTATTTTCTGAGTGTTTATGCTATACAATGAGAATTGATTTTCTGAGTGATAGCCCTGAGACCTTGCAGGAGTCTCACTTTCCAAAGAAAGATTCAATTGTGTTTCTATATTGTATTTACCAAGGAGGAAAAGTAAGGAAATATACTTCACAAAGGACTCCTCAAGAATAATGCAGTAATCTTTGAGTCACTTAGATTAATACACCTAGATAATTCAGATCACTCATTTCTCAGCAATCTGTGCATTAGGGACTTATAATATAACATGTTATGTTTAGGAGTATTTCTTTATACAGTAAAACCTGCAGAAGTTAGAACTTGTGTAAGGCAAAGCCTGTCGGAGGAGGCAAACACAAATATTTTCCATTAAAACAATTACTACAAAAGAGGTTAAGACTGCACCTGTTGAAGATGGAACACTTGCAAAGTCAGAAAAACGAGGCAGTCCTGCCGAGTTCCAGCTCTTACACATTTCACTGTATATGGCCCAGTAAGTAGCCCCCAATTTTTTAAAAAATAGAATCATAAGAAATGTTTTATTAAAATTTTGAGGTAAGGGAATTATATATATGGTATCTGAATCAGCAACATTGTTGTTGTTAGATGCCCTTGAGTCAATTTTCCAGTCATTGCAACCTCACAGTTAGAGCTGAGTAAAAGGAAAGAATAAAACAACATATAAATAGAAGTACTAAGAGTCCTGTGTTTATCTTTCAGATTCCAGGCTCTTTTGCAACAAGAGGCTGAAACACTGGGTGGGTGGTAGGACTAAAGAATTGAGAAGGATCCCTCCCAGTCTTGACACCCTATGTTCTATGAAATGATGACAGTTAATTGGCCAGATAAGCTTTGTGCTTTCTACGTTGTGCTCCAAGTAAAGAGTAAAACAGTAAAAAGCACACAGATGCAAAATGCCACTAAAAGTGAATAATTACTACAAGATGATAAAAATATTGCAAAAAAAAAAGTTCTATTATACTCAGCAACAAGGCAATGCTAATATTAACAGAAAAATGGTACTAGTTACTTTTGATATGAACTCTGAACTCTTGTTTCAACTCCCAAAATTATCTTACAAAACTAATTTCATCCTCCATTTTTTTAAACACCCTCGTATTATCTCCTTTTTAAGGT